TGCTGATGGGTGTGCGCCCAGGACTGCTCCGCGGCAGCAGCCATCTGTTTGCGAATCTGCAGTTCTCCTTGTTGGAGCGACTTGAGCAATTCTCTGTTCCGGGTTGGTGCCTCTCGTTTGTTTTGTGTGTTTGTTCTTTGCCTCTCTGTCTATATATGCATGTACATATATATATATATATATATATATATTATATATATATACAAACAAGTTTGCCTCTTGCTGGTCTTTCGTTCTTCTTTGTGTCTCCGCCTTGTGTATCCTTTTGGAAGGGCTTTGCGCAGGAGGCTGCCAGGCCTCTCAGCTGCAGCACTGTGGGGTTCTGGTGTCTGTGTCTTCTCTTTGCTGCATGCAGAATTATGCGACGCCATCTGGGCATACGCCGTGGCTCGCTTCCACGACGTAAACTTCTGGGGAGTACGCTGGATTATGTCTCTCTTCTTGCTGCTGCTGATTCTACTTCTGCTGCTGTTGTTCTCATTGATACTTCTGTAGCTACTGGTGCTGCTGCTGCTGCTGCTGCTGCTGCTGTCGTCACCAGTGTACATGGAGAGGGGAAGACGTCCTGCAGCTTCGGTTGGCACAGCAGAGGGTCTTTGTATGAACGCTTGCTGCTGAAACGAGCTGCAGTTTGTCTCTAAAAACTAACAGGCTGCGCTGCTGAGGCTGAGGGACTGCAGCTGGGAATGAAACTTTGTTTGCTACGCTTCTGTTGCTTCCCTTGTAGCATGCGCTGTATTTGCATCTCTGTAGGTTTCTGAGGGTCCCGCTGCAGCGTGTGTCTGCGGTGTCTGTACAGCCCTGCCTCAATGTTGTTCCTATCGAACGCCTCCCTGGGGATGACCGCTGCGCATTGCTGTTCCCAGCAATTGATGAGATTACCGGAGGTAAGTTTGTGGCTGCTTACTGCCTCTGAGACAAGAGGAAGAGAGGGAACCGATCCCCCGTGTGCATGCACTGCATGCTCTAGGCCCTGGAGCTACCTGCAATGCACTTACCGCTTCATACAGCCCCACCTAACTCCTTGCATGCACCTGTGTTGTGTAGAGACTGACATGTGAGGCTTTAAGTGGCTGTGAGTGGCGCTATACTTATGCGGGAGAGCGCTGTAAGGCTCTGGTGTCTGCGGAGCTGCAGGCAAGGCGAGAGGCAGCAGCAGATTGCTGCCTCCTTCGTAACTTTTCTTTGCTTCATTCCTTTGTTTTGTGCCTTCATCTTTGGGGTGTATCTGCTTGCTGCAGCCCTCCCGACGATGCAGAGCTCGAGGCTTAAGCAAATGAAGTTCTATACGCGAGGTGGGTCTGTCTTGCCCTGGCACGCAGCGAGAGGTATACAGCAGAGACAGGCTGTAAAGGCTAAAGGACAAGGGAAGCGCTGCAGCGCTTCTTGTGCTTGAGGAGGAGCGATAGCTTCTCTTTCTGCTGTCTCTCTTGCGTCTGCCCATTGTCTGCCTCCGGGGCGTAGGGGTAGGGGTTAGAGTTTAGTTCTTATGGAGGCATTGCTCTCTGCTAACGCCTTCGTAATTGCTGGGGTATACGAAAGGCGCAGAGGCAATAGCTGTTCTGCGTTGCCTCTCTGCTGCTTTGCAGTGGCTCTCGGCCTTACACTTTGTCACTGACATGCGAACGAAGACAGAGAGAAGGGCAGCAGTAGTGGCGCCGCATAAACCCTAAGTTTAAAACCTCAAGCTGTTGTTTCTCTGTTGTGATCTCAGAGGCCTTCTGGGCACTTCAGTTGGAGGAGCACCCAGCGAACTTCGCCGAACATGTCGCTGAAAGTACGTTATGACTCAAGCTTAAGATGGTTTAGGGTTTAGGGTTTTGTGCTGGCGAAGGCAACAGCCCTAACCAGGGGGATAGCTCCCACCTCCTTTCATATGGAGGCTGCAGCGTATGCAGCAGCGTGTTTATGTTTATTTTTGCTGTGGATCTCACCTGCTTAGACAGTCCCTGGGAGTAGTTGGATTATTGAAGTGGTGTTAGAGTTGCTTGGAGTGAATGCAGAAGAAAAAACGGAGTGTATGTGCATGTTGTGTGTATCGGCTCTATCTGCTGCAGCTGTGCGAGCTCTAGGCCTTACTCCGCACCTGAGGGTGGATGCAGCAGGGCATCTAATAGACGTCTTGGTGCAGCTAGGAGAGCCACAAAAAGATGCATGCGAGATACCTACAACTCCTAAGTCCCAAGGGCGCGGGGCTTCGCATGCAGTGCAGCTCGCGCTCTTGTGCCACGCTGATGCACAGCTTCAGGGAGCCCCCACCAAACCGGGGAGTGTTCCATCTCCATTAGGGCATTCTGTGCTGAAACACCGCCACCTGAAACGCCAAGGTAAGTGTTGGGCTCCATCAGGCCTGCAGTCAGCTGCAGCCAGCTGCAGCCAGCTGCCGTCAGCTGCAGCCAGCTGCAGCGCAGTTGGCTCCCTCTGGCACCATCGTTTCTTCTCCTCAGTTATAGGACTCTGCAGTGCACGTGTTGTTCCCCTTAGCTGGTTGAGTCTCGTTGAACTTTCTAAGCCAGAAGCAGGAGCAGTATATATATATATATACAGAGAGAGCGAGAGAGACAGAGATCAAGAGAAAGAGGCAACTGATGCATTTGCTTTCCATTGGATATACCAAGAGCAGGGTGGGCGGGCGTCTTGGTGCGGTGTGACAGCCCTGTTGCTGCTGCAGCCACTGCTACCGAGACACTAGGAGGTTGGTCCTGAGTTTTTACGAGTTGTTTATGTGCGGTGGTTTGTGCAGGGTTCCATATTGTGCATTTAACTTGGAGCGTTTGGCAGGTAATATAATAACCTACCATGCACTGCTGCTTTGATTTGACTTTATTCGTTTCATTTGCAGAATATTGCGTTTGAAGTCTTCTTCCGGAAATTAAAAACTTTCGTGAGCTGTGGCTTCTGTCTTCTGCTTGCAGAAACTCACAACTGACCAGCAGCTCGCGCTGCTGCGGCGAGAGGTAGGCAAAGCGCAAGCGAGCAAAGAGCCTTCAAAAAAGACTTCAGAAGCTTCAGGAAAGGAATAGGTCTTTCTGGCCATTCCTCCGGTGTCTTTGAACATAGCCGGTAGCCTGCGGGAGCGGGCAAAGTCTTCTTGTTTTTCCTTTCTTTTGTCTCTGAACTCAATCCTATATCTTCTATATATGCAATTTAGCAAGCCTTAAGCGTCACATCACGCTCAACCAACTACAGCAGAGGCCTTGACAGTCTAACCATGCAGCAACAAGTAGGGAAGAGCGTACTATGGTGCCTCAGCCATCAGAACTGCGGTGCCTCAGAGCGATATACTTCGGGCTAGTAGCCGTATAGGGATGCACTGGAAGGCGCACGCACACTCTTCCCAGTGCTGCATTGAGAGCAAAGCAACAACAGGGATTTTGTTTGAGTTAAGCCATCATCGGGGACGGCTTAGACCACGTACAACAACAGATTGATAAGAAATAAATCAGCCTATCGTAGTAGAGCTATGCGGTAGTTAAGATGGGTTTCTTAACACAAGGTGCTGGAACCAAGGCCACACAAATGCTGTAACCTAGAACGCCTCATAAAAGAATGTGAGAAGATTGGAACAGCAGCTTGATTGCGCATGGACTACACATCCAAGATATTAGGTGCTACGTAGAAAATAGGCAAAGTTTTGCTTGTTGCTGCTAACTGCCTAGCAGTCGTTTTTCGTGGTTGCCGATACAAATGGAACAGTGACTCAATGAATCTGATAATGCCCCTAATGCCGTTGGGCCCCATCCTATTCGGTTCCTATTTCATCTCCTTGTTATCGTGCATGCTCAATGCTACCACAGGTCGTTGAGCGCAATGTTCGCGGGCATGGTCTAGTGGCTATGACGTCTGCCTAACACGCAGAAGATCCCGGGTTCGATCCCCGGTGCCCGTATGCTACCCTCTCATTACTTCCTTTTTGGGTTCGTACGTCTGGTAAACTTGGAACAGACAAACTTACGGAGTCTTCCCGGCCGCGCTTCCTCAATTCGATGCCCCTTGTGATGTATTGGGCTGTGCTGCAACGCGCACGCACCCCTTCTTAAAGGCATATGAAGCCTTTGCAGTGCGTTGCATGCACTAAGAGACAACATCACGCGGGAGCTATGGGAAAGAAGCCACAATAGGGCGCTTTGTTTGAGTCTGGTCAGCTTCCGGGAGGGCTTGGACATCGAATAACTGCATGCTGGTGAGTGTGAAAGTAGGTCTGCACAGACTGCGACGACAGCGAAGGTGGGTTTCCTTACACAGAGTAGCTCAGCCGCTCGTTACTTGAAGTAATATAGACCTGGAGAAGAGTGGAAAAGATGCTGGATTGGACACTGAATAAGTATCCCTGAGATTAGGCGCTGCGAAGAAAATAAGCAAGGCTTCGGTGGCTGAGGATAGGTGTGGCTAGCGGTGGGGAATTACTGTCTGCCTAGGAACAGCTTTCTGTTGTTGCTGATATTAACGCTATAACCGTAGGATGAGTCCGAGAGTACGCCTTCTGGCGTTGGCTCCATCCTATTTAGAGCCAATGCCGCCGCCTCATTAGCGAGTAATACTCCGTTGCAAGGCTGCATTGGATATGATCATCTTTTGTGCGTCGGGTACTCGGGTCGATGAGCGTCACGTCCGCGGGCATGGTCTAGTGGCTATGACGTCTGCCTAACACGCAGAAGATCCCGGGTTCGATCCCCGGTACCCGTATTCTACTTCCCCTTTGCTTTGTTTTGGAATCATATCTTCATACACTTGGAAATGAGAAACCTAGCAAGCCTCACAAACTGCTCTGCCGCCGATACTAATGGAATAACGGTTCGGTGGATTTGATAATACACCTTGTGCCGTGGGGCTCTATCCTAGTCAAGTCCTACTTAACCAACGTATTGCCGTGTAAGCCCAATTCTACTGCATTGCAGATGGTTCTATGCACCTGGTAGAAGGGTCGCTGGGCTCCTCCCCCGCGGGCATGGTCTAGTGGCTATGACGTCTGCCTAACACGCAGAAGATCCCGGGTTCGA